ATGTGTTCATATATATAACGAATAGAAAAAAAAGATTTCTGCAAGGATAGAAGTAGCTTAATTTTCTAAGCTACTTTTATCTTTGCAGAAATCTTTTTTTTTATTACGTATATAGTATGCATGTGTACATTTTATTTTTTACATTTAAACTTTACGTGCTTTTTTCATTAATTGTACAATTATAATCAGTTTCGTGATTAAGCTCTGCTGCAATACATAATAATGCTAGTTTTTCACTCGTCCTACAAACAAGGACCTTTGACCTAAACAGTTTGACATCATCATACAAAGAAAAATTCGAGATATAATATTTACATTCATACAGGAAATACAGAATAAGAAAATCTTGTTCGTGAGATATTTTGCATTCGAACGCTGATATTTCTTTTAGTGTGCGCAAATGTGCACCAAGATGCAAATGTGTACCAAGATGCAAATGTGCTAATATTCAATATCTAGCGTCACTTCTAGATCATCGAGATCTCTGAAATTGCATCCCTGGTAATGATGGTCTCTAATCAGAGAGTCATATTAGCATCGTAAGATATTACTTGAGACACTCTTGAAATAAGAACGGATATGAATACCGACCGAAAATCGTGAAATTCGAATCTAATAATTGTTGGATAATTTTCTTAATCATTCGCGTCTAACAAAAAATGATAGTTATATTTTAGAACTTCTTTAAAAAAAATTCCGCCTCTCTCCCCCCCTAAACCTACCGTCCCTAAACATAACTTAAATTAGTCTATAGTCTACAGTGTTAATTACACTCCGCAAGTTTTTTTAGGAGAACGGCCCGACTCACTTATTTTCAAAATATTCATAAAGGCCATTACGCATATTAAAATTTTAGTCGTAAAATTACAAATCAATCACCAAATCATCAAAATTGCAATCTTTCACGTTTTAAAACGCTTGATTGTAATTAGGCGATATTCTTATGGTCTTACGATTATAACTAAAATTTTTCTACGTATGATGTCTTTAATTTAATTTAATTAAAAAATTGTCTGGATGTAAATGATCTTCGTTTACACAGAAGATTAATATCCTTTCTTTCAGGAAATTGTTTATACCGAGAAAAAAATAGTTTATTTGACTAAATTAATCGATTCCTGCGGCTAACGTAATATTTTTTGCAATAAATTAAATTATTTATAGTTCTTAAAGATACTTACATTAGCATCAAATTATTAATATATTTTTAAGATGCTTATTAGTATAAAAAATTATGTCAATTTAATAATTAATATGTGATATTACTATTCTAGTTTTGTTCATGATTGCGTTTCCAAGAGACCGAAAGATTTCGCGATTTGCAGAATTGGAAATGTATAATAAATTCATTCTGAAATATTTAAGATCCATTTTAGCCGAAGATAGTTTATTTCTATTAATTGATTTAATATAATTTACCTTTATTTCTTTTGAGAGATGAAGAATATATGAACATATAATATGTATTTAAATCTACCTATTATATTTGATTTAGATATATATATTCTTCAATGAAGGAAAGAGTCTAAAGTTGTCACTAAATTAATTTAAATAAACAATTAATTTAGTCAAATGAATAACTTTTTTTCATAAGAATATACAGATAATCGAAATAAAACGTATAAAGAAAAATAACGTAGAATAGGAAAAATAATATAAGAGAAAAGAAATCACAATTTTCGGCTAAAGATTGATTAAAAATATTAGCTTAATAATATTCATATGCAAATCTGCAAATACGTTTCCTTTTATAAAATGCGCGCCGATTCGATTTGTTGGACTTAAAACTCAATTATAAATTAAAGCTGGAAATAACATCATAAATCATATTGATCGTCAATTTAATAACAATAGCAATAAACCTCTTAAAACAGTGTAAAAAACAATTTATTTATTGCGATAAATATCCTACATTTCACAATCAGTCAAGGTTTGAATCTAGAACTCTTGACTTTCCGGATGGACGTTTTATCGTATACAAAATAATACATATAAAATTATAAATACAAAAAATAAAATTCTTTCGATTTATTTTTTGATATTTAATTTCTACAATTAAAAATAATATAAATAATTCATAAATTATAAATAAAAAAAACAAAGGAGATAAATAAAAATAAAATAAAATAAAGCGATAATAAAAAATATAAGATACAAACAGAAACAAATAAAGAGCGTAATGAAAAGAAAAATAATTAATATAGTAAGAAATCAAACATACATATGAGCAGCCGAATGGAAAGACTAATGCAAGAAAGAGAGAAAGAGCCATTTCAAAATATCGTGCAACTCATAAATTATATTGTTTAAGACTCGTACATGAAATGAATTTTGCGGTGCGTTGTATTAAATTGCTATTAAGTTTAAGGGGTCACTGGATATAATAGTTGTCAACGACGACCTTTAACTTTAAGTCAGGTGAAAGCATGCATGTCCTCGATTCTCGCACTAGTTACACCGGACGACTTGCAATATAAAAAAAAGGGCCCGCACTTTAATTCTGCTGTGGAAGGCTCGAGTTATCTCAAGAAAGGATGCCACGTGGCGTACCGCCGTATCAGAAATTTATCGTAGCGTACAACTAACCGCGTGAATGTATTTTCCGTATAGAATGCGTTACGCGTCCTGATTACCTGATTTCAAATTATATTAAATTTCTCGAGCGATCTTGTCCGTTCCGGTTGGATGAGAACCATAAGAAGCGATGCACCGTGCCGAATATGGTCACGCCGGCTATTTACAATTAAAATAACTAATCAAGATTTGATCGATTGATAGAGTACAAGAACAGAAAGAGGGTCCAAAATATTAAAAAAAATAATTATTTAATATTAAATAGTCAATTATTCGCTTGCGCAGTCGGACATATTACGAAAATAAATGCTCCCGTTACGAAATAGCATGTTTGCCAAATTCGTTAATTTCTTGTTTAACGAATCATCCATCATTGCTAATTACCACCAGAGTCCAGTTGCATTTGTGGCACTTTTATTACTCATTAACATCATTAGTATAAATCACGCCGGCACATGTACGGTCGCCTATAATTAATGAAACGGAATTGCGCTTAACACGATCATGTGCGCCGTTTGTATGAAAAATTCATGCGAATAATTGTATGATCTAATTTTGATCCGAAATTGATTTGTTTGATTTGAAGAATATTTTTACGTTAAATATATATACATATATACAAACACTGTTTCTTACATCTGACTCTCACTCGTATATCTTCTTTTGAGTTAATTGCACGTTTTGATAAATTATATAGGAGAATATAATTGTATAACAAAATATTAGTACATACACAAGATTATCAAATATAATTATTGAGAAGAGTATTAGAGAAATATTAATATGCATTTAATTACTTTACAACATTCATGAAATTTCATGAAAATAACTGGCACTCGCGAGAATTAGAAAAAATATCAAACAAATTTGCACATTGATAATAATTTACCTCTTCGAACAATATACAAATGACAGAGCATAGGCACGAGAAAAGATGGGAGCATTGTCGAGCACCCGAAAGTTTCAAATGACGCACTGCACTTGGGAGCCTTTTACTGTATCGTCTTACGCCAGATTCGAGAGGAAACTGGCAGGAATCAGCAGTAGCTGATCATTTTGTAGTTGTTCTCATGCCTTTATCTCGTGAGCATAACGATCTACTTTTCTTCATGTTTAATGCTAACCAGTAATGCTAACCGTAACATGTTATGTTAGATAATAATTGATGCGATATTATAAAGTTGTTTTAATTATTGCGCTTCCGGTTTGTGAAACTTTTCACATCGTTAGATCGAGAACAAAAGAACTTTTTATTTGTGCGAAAATAATGTTCTTATTTCTAGAAGAGAGAGCAAAAGATTTTTTTTCGTGCAATACTTTTTTCTACATTTGAGAGGAAAGTGTAGTATTTGTGATTATAATTACACGATAAAATAATTATAATTAAAAATTCTGTTTCTCTATACTTATTATCTTATAATGTTAGTAATAATAATTATATTTTAAATAATAATTATATATTTAAAAAAAATATACAGGGTATCCCCGTAAAGATTTAACAACGCTTAAGTGTAAATTTCTGAGATCATTTTAAAATGAAAATTCTAATATCAGAATATCGAGGAGAAATAATAATTTTTTAATTATAAACATTTAAAATCAGTAAATCCTACAGTCTTAATATTTGTGTATTCTTAAAAAAAAAAGTTATCGAATGCGAAACTGATTCGCCGAAGCGATCGTTAAATTTTACAGATTTTTAAAAATACATAACTCGAATGGAATCGTAGGTGTCATACAATGCAAAGTGCTATGACAGTAAGGACTTGTACAGTTAGCACTGAAATAATTATAATTTAAAATTAAATTATAGTAATTTTTATCTCACAAAAAAAATACCAGAAGTATTCATCCAGTTTTTCGATGCCAATTTTTTTAGTGATTCTTAAAGCCAAAACCAAATATATGTGACACGATTGTCACAGCGTCATTGTGCGGTTTTATTCTCGTTATTCGAGTTATTAGAGTTATATATTTTTAAAAATCTGTAAAATTTAACGATTGCTTCGGCGAATCGGTTTCGCATTCGAGGTTCGGTAACTTTTTTTTTAAATGTATTTAATGTGTTTATTACTTCTTTCAAATAATAAAAATACTTACGGATATTACAATATAAATTTTTGTAATAATAAATTGCTATCTTTTGGATAGCAATTTATAGCAATAGAAACTGCTAACAATAAGAGACAATTAACATAGAATACACACATGAGGACAAGAATAATCCTGCGCATATCTTTTTTTTTAATACTATGAATATCGACATAAACACTAACAATAATCTCTGTCCTCTTCCTAAAAAAAATTCAGATTCTTAGTGACAGTCTTACAATAGCGTGTTGACAGACATTTTTATTGTCGGACCAAAATTAAATTACATTTGTTTATATAATATCACTATAAAAGAAATTGTTTTTCTTTTTCAGGACAAATTGCTCACAAAACTAGAAGAAAACGAACCAGAGTTGGCATCTTCACAGGAAGATGAGGTAAGAAACGAATCGAAAGTGATAGCACGAATAAGAACACATATTTTCTTAAAGCGATATTTGCAAGTTATAAGTTGTCTAATTGACTATTCTGAAATGATGAAATGAAATTGAATAGTGAAATTTCCTTTTCTCCTAATCGACTTTATTATGGATATAAAAAGAAACTAACTCTTTCCATCTCAATTGGCATCGATTAATACAGTCGTTATTTTTTTCTGTTAATCCTACACTTTGAGATTCTTTTAGATTGATTGTGTAATGATTTTTGTCTTCTCTATATCTAACATATATTTTTATCGATATCTATATTATTATGAAATTCATTTTTATATATTCATTTTATTTATAAATATAGAAACAAAGCATATTTTTTGAAAGATTACATCAAAGTTTTCGTGCTTACCATAAAATATACTTCAAATATATTATACATTCATAAAATTTACAAGATATTTTAAAAAATAAACGCACATTTTATAAATTATAATCTATATTAATATAAACATTATATAATTCTGTAGAATACTAAAGATATTGTATCTATCTTCTCGGTTCGTTGCGTAATGTTACGCTAGATTGGATCATTAGGCTACATGATGAAGAAAATAACAGAGTATCTGTATCGTGCAAAATATAGTCGGTCATCCGGAAAAGTCGCAATTTCCGAACGAATTGGCCGCCCAGTCGATCGCAAAAGTCGATTAACGACGATGACAAAGTGGCGGTTGCAACCCTTCGATTTCTAACATGTTCGCCCACTCTCTTGTCTCGAGTTATTAATATTTCGATTAAAGTGACGCCTAATTACGTTAAGTCGATTATGGCAGCCTATCGCGGCAGCCATCCCGATTGCTAAACAACAACGTGTTACATCGTTCTGGGATTTAATGACATTACACATGTAAGCGCGTAAAAACTATGTAAATAAAATAAAAGTTAGCTTCGTGATGAACATGAATAAAAGCGGCTGTATGATCTTTTCTTTTTGCTCTTCCGCGATTTTTTCCCAATAAGAGATAATTTTCCTAGTATTAACATATATGTGATTACCAATAAAGATTATCAATAAAGATTACCGTTCAACGTATTCGCATGCGTTCAATCAATGCGCCTCTTTATTTTTTTTTCCAGTGCGTCATATGTGTGAATGCGAGGGCGACGATGCAGACTGCGCCATGTGGGCATCGAGTGGTTTGCAGGTGAGTGAATGAGCTTAATGTAAGCATAGATTTGCGCGTCTAAATATTTTAAATGAATTTATTAATTTTTCAGTAATCCTATAAGTTAAGTTTTATTGAAACTGCGATATTAGGAGGCAGGGTTGGGTAGTGCTAAGTTAAAAAGATAAAAGTTAAGTTAAAAAGTTAATTAATTTTAATTTAACTTAGTTACATTTTAGACTCTTAACTTTTTAACTTTATTTAGTTACATTTTATCCATAACTATTTATTTTTTATTTTATTTTTTTTAAGTCTCAGACATAATACGCGGTAATAGCGATAGCTTAAAATGACATAAAAATTGTAAAAGAGAGCAAATTTACTAGGTGTTAACCATTGAAATTATAAATATTATAGTGAATTTGCTCATTTTTATGATTTTCACCTCATTTCAAATTACACAATCAAGATCCCAGATTTCAATCTGTCAGAAACCGTGTATTTCGATTTATCTAGTTTTTGATAGGTTGAAATCTATTATTTCTTATTATTAAAATATAATATCAATACTATCTTCGGCTCAATGGCTGTTCAGTGCAGAAGGATTCATTTTGTAAGACTGAAACCCTGGAATCTTGGAATAAAAAAATAAAAAAAAAACAAATTTAACTTTTAACTTTTCAATTACTTTTTTTTATTAACTTAGCTAATTAACTTTTAATTCAATTAATTAGAAATTAACTTGTATCTTAACTAACTTAAATTCTTTTCAAGGTTGTTAACTTTAACTTAACTTAGTTAAAAAAAAAAGTTAACTTTCCAACCCAAAATGTTTTTAATGTTTTTTATCCTGTAAATATTAATTAAAATTAATACAGTAATATTACACTTGTAATTTTACACTCTACTAATGTAAGTGTTATGTAATAACACGTACATTATATTACATTTACATTGTTGTGTGAAATTAATGTTCTATCTCTTTAATTGGTATTTAGTACTACAGTTGTAAAAACTAGATTGGTTTTTAGTTCTCCAAAGATTAGACTTTTTTACTTATAGGATTTCTAGAATGACCTGTTCAAATGCATTCTGTGTGCGTATGTGCGTATGTGTATTTTCTTTTTATTACAATGAAAATAGGCAATAATTATTTTTCACGTTAGTGTTGCGACTATATTTAATCTATTTTACATTTTAGAAGACTTCTTTTAATTTTGGCTTTATTTATTTCGGCTTCATATCCGTTTTCGCTGTTTTGCAGACGCTGCTTTGTCAAGACGATACAAATGGCGGTGTCTCAGAGGCTTTTGCCACTGAGATGCGTTATATGCAGAGCGAAAATCCTACGATTGAAGCAGACTTACATTCCTCCGCGTGATGTAAGTGATAATAGTATCCGTTTCATCTCAGATTTTTCGTATTTGAATACACATGTTAATTACTTGTCCCTCGTTTATATCCTTTAGCATTTAAAAAATTTCTTGAATTTATTTTTACACGCTATTTTTAATATTATACTTTAATTTTACACCGTTTCCTTACAACTTTGTTTCATTCGTGTACATACAAATCAATAAATTTCACACTCACCACATGATCGTGACGAAATCACTGCTAATTGAGCGAAATTCTTAAATATGGCAAATATGGCAAATTTGTGTAACACAGAATTTGTGTAACAAATTAAAAAACAACCTCGATAAATCGAAATTTGCTGAAAATATTGTGCCGCATTCTAGATATCATTCATGATGTATCTTTTTTTACGTACGATTAACTGTCAAAACACACTGTGTGTTTCGGCATGTTGCTAATTATTCTTTAAATATAAAATAATTTATACTCACAAAAATGTAACTTTTATAAATAAATTTTCATTCCAGTATATCATATCCAGAGAGCATCAAACATGTCTAAAACATGTCTAGAATACGCAACATAAACTGAAAGTAACATCAATATTATAATTTCAATATTATAATTTAATAAAACTCTACAATATAATAATAAATGTAATATAATACATAGCGTTACATAATAGTTATATTGTGGAGTGCGAAAATATAACATTGACATTATGTTACTTTCAATTTGAGTCAAGTTTCAACTGAAAAGACGTCATTAAAATTTTTTTAGGACATCATGTCTTTATAATGTTTTATATCACAATTCCTAATTCTGGCAAGAAATCTGGGTAAATCTTTAGACTATGGGATCCCTCCTCCAATAACCTTGACCTTGATATCCTGAGTGACCTTCAATAAGTTTTAGTCATCGCTCGTCCTTTATTAAAAAGTTATTAACAAAAAAAGTTTGAAAAATAACGTCTTATTTCGGCTATATAAGATCAGAAATTGTTCTAAACTATATACACTTACTGCACTCCACCTGTCCTATTGCTTAGTGGCGCACAGACCTTCCACGCAAGTTCACTGCTTTAGCAGAAAATTTGTGTAAATATATAGTTTAGGGGAAGGTTAGGATTAGGTTAGATTATTACCCATAGATATAATATATAATAACTTAATCCTAACCAAACTATGTATCGTAAACCATGTATACAGAGTAAAACAGGAAAACATTTTCTGTTCTAAGAACAAAAATTATATAAGAAAGTATGAAAGTCGTGCGCCTCCAAGCAAGGAAGGGGAGGTGGAATAGGAGTCATTTCTTGTGGAAAGTTGTAAAATATACTTTAAAGCACAAAATTTCTGTTTTATATAGTGAAAAAGAGATATTGTATACGTTTTTTCTTAAAGAGATATTGTATACATTTTTTTTTGTTAATAACTTTTTAATGAAGGCTTTTTAGCGACGGTTAAAACTTGGAGATTATTCAGGGTCAGAACATGTCAAGGTCAAGGAGGGAAGATCCCCTAATCTAAAGATTTACCGAAATTTTGTTTTATAGACTTATTATTATAACCATTCTAGATTATTTCGCTAGGAGAAATAAAATCGATTATGCATTGTAAAATCATTTTTGTTGAAAAAAGCGCTTTCTCGAAGTTTGTTTTCTCAATTGTCGATAATGACTTGAGAATAGGTACAAGTTTACTCTTTGGCCATGTTGTGCGCTGTTATCGCTCGCTAGCTTCTTTCTACCTTACTTTTACTCTATATAATCTGTATTCTTTTCTATTTTATGAGTTACTTTTGGCTACAAGTTTATTTCTGCTATCGTTTTAATTTTTTCTGTTATCGTTTATTGTTTCCAATTAATCAATCAAAGAAAACTCATATCATTATTCAATTTCATTAAATTTAGAAAAAAACTCATGCAATGTATTTAGTAGAATTGTGATATCTGTGATTTCTTGACTTCCAATATTTACAATAGTTTTAACTTATAGTATTTGCCGGGTAAATCTTGGATATTCCCTCAAAGCTCGTCAGAATATAACATGGGCACAGGAGCCGGTATGTCTAGATCTGCTAGCAGGTGGGGAACCGCAACTACTAGAAGTGTACCAGCCTCTGCCTCTTTATACTCGATGGCCAGCGGTTCGTCATCAGTTTCTGGTTTGTAATAGTCTTCATAAATTGCTAATAATATACAAATTACTATGAAGATTTAAATATATTATAAAGGATATACTACAAAGAAATATACTACTTTCAAATTTCAATTCACGTAGGAGTGTCTTCCGTTTCTTCGGCAACTTCCTCGACCGCGCGTAGCATCTCTCTCAGCAAACCGACTAGGGCAACGAGGATACGACAACCCACAGGCGCCACTCTCAGACGTTCCCAGACGCAATCAATGAAAATGCGAATTCAAGTTAGTAGCTTATCATAATATTCGATGTAAAATACATTTCATATTTTTTTATGTAAAGTAAGTATGATAATCCGATTTCGAGAATGCTATATTTTTCAAAATAAATTTTCTAGAATATATGGAAAGAATTTTGCTGACGTATTTAGAAATTTAGATACAAATTTAAAAATAATTTGATTAAACTAATAAACAATTAAAAATTCAAACAGGATGAGCAATGTTATAAAAAATGTTGACATTCTAATGTTTGGACTTTCTAATTTTTAAATAAAATTATTTTCGAATGTATAAGGTATACTTCACTAAATGTTTAGATTATATCTCAGCAAAATCGGTTTTTTTTTCATATATGTATATGTAAATCGGCGGAATAATTAATTTATGAAAATTTGTAGTCATACCAAGATCCTATTCAACAAATCCCCGAAGAGGAGGAAAATTTGCGGGAAAATCGGGAACGCCGATTGCCCCCCATCCGTGAATTCCAGAGGGATTATCGTGCTGGTAAAGCCTCCACTAGAATCAGGTATCTTTGCAATCGTCAATTTCAGCAATCGACCGAGAGATTCGCCAAGCGACAGATTCGTGACGCAATTGACGCGTTTACAGATGTGCTCACAAGATTGTGACACAGATGGATATACCGCCGAGCTCAAGAAGCATATCCGCTATTACATCGTCGGCATCATCGGCATCGTCGTGCAACCGCGCCATGTCTAAACGACCAATGACAATGCCGAAGGTGTCGGTGGTCCAAGAGGTGCAGAAGTCAAAGAAAGAAAAGGAACAGGAGAAGGAACGCGAAAAAGCAGAGAAGGCCCGACAGAAGGAAGAAGAGAAGGCCGAAAAAACTAGACAGAAGGAAGCCAAGAAGCTGGCGAAGGAAGAGAAGAAGAGAGCGAAGAAAGAAACAAAAGCACGGCGGAAGGAAGCCGAGGAAGTTCCTCTTTTGACGGACTAAAAGTAAGGTTTGACTGATAGAATAAAAGTCTCATGACATCGAACATAATGCAGCTG